TTATTTCATTTTATTCTGAACGATGCTGATGAGATCGAATAGAAGCGAGTAAGCAGTTAGAGAAACAACGTATCGGAGACGTCCTGTCGAATTTTCTGAGGAGAAAATCACCCGACAGCTCTCACAAGACATCACCAACAATAACACAATCGTCACGCTCTACCAGTAAACAACTTCAGGTGATCTATCGACGTGTACTTTGTATCTGAATATGGCTCAGCTATCGAAAAACGAATTGAATTTCAACACGAACGAAATGGAAACGGGCGTCATGATGACCGATTCGTTCCAGGTAATTCTTTTTTATTTTCCATCTACAACCCGCCACTCTTGACTCGGAGAGATTGATGTCTCATTGTAGATCGTCAGTCCCAGTAAGACAAAATATTACATCGAACACGGTATCGGCCTGCCCAACGGTGCACATTCTTCCGTTCCTCCCTGTCTACAACTGTCGTTCGAGCCCGCCAAGGGTTCGCTCCAGAAGGTGACGAGTTTTCCACGAGTTTTCTCTGACTTCTCTCAGAACAAGGCGCAGATCATTCGCGTAGTCATGACAGTTCGCACGTACACCGATCTGAAAGAGGTGAGCATGATACAGACGTGACTCGTTGTAGACGGAACGATCACTGAAGAGGGAAGGTGGTCATCCATATCGCCGAGGGAGAAGAGAGAAAACTCGTCAAGATTCCGATCAAGTTGAAATTGAATTGTCTCAAGGGTATCTTTGGTAGTGATCCTTCTACCATACCCACAGGCGATGACGATGACACGGGTGAGAATCTTCTTCTATCTTTCTCAGAATATTCACCGAATCTTCTCCTCTCTCAGAAATTTCACGGAATGTTCTCACCCCACTCAGGTTTGAAAGTTCCCGTCCTTCTGAGCCAGCTGAAGCAGAAACTGCGAGAAGACAATGGAATGAGAAGAGAGGGAATCTTTCGCATATCCGGCGAAGCGAGAGAGATCGCAGATGCGAAGAAGAAGATCAACCGTGGTACACCGTTGGGCAGATTGGACCCACACGTCTCTTCTAATTTAATCAAAATCTGGTTCAGGGAGATGCCAGATCCCCTTCTACAATGCGCCAGGGGAGAGGAGCTACACAGCGACGACCCCGCCGTGTGCGTAGGCGTTGTAGATCGGTGAGCTCAATACACCTCCGAGACACCTGACGTCCAAAGGTTGTCGAACGAACAGCGGCACCTCTTAGAATGGCTGGTCGACCTCATGAAGGAAGTCGCCGCCTCTTCCGAGGACAACAAGATGACCGTAGAGAATCTGGGTGAGGCTATTCCTCGACACACACCCTGACCCAACGGCAGCCATCGTCATTGCACCCAATCTGTATAGAATTCCAACCGATATCGACCCCGCAGAGGGTCTGACGCGAGCGCAGCGTCTGTCCAAGTTTTTCGGCCTCATCGTGAACCATCTCGAACAGCTTCCCAGCCCGAGGAACAGGCAGGGCCGGATCTTAGCTCCGAAGGGTGCTATGAAACAGCTCGTCCACCAAGGTGGGCCGTTTTTACTTCGTAAAGATTCTGATCGCGCTTCCGTGACTGAGACCTTTCAGCGCTTTCCACCTCAGCCCCCTCTCTTTTTAAGAAAACCACCAACACTGGGGGGCCCGGGGAAAGAACAAAACTGACCGTTTCTCATGGCGGCGACTGCGAAGGTGTATTCTATCATATCCACCCTCTATTAATATAGTGTATTCTCCGTTCTGACGACAACAACAGGTGGCTCAGAGATAATAGAGGTGTCTTCGCGTTTGCCTTCGAGTAGCACGAGGAAGATCTCGTCGCCTGCGGCATCTTACATCATCGATATAGGTGAATCGCGCTTCTCTGTAGATCTGTCTCGACTTGCGCATTTTTTCGGTCCATTCGCGGGAACCGAGCGGGAACCTGGGAAGCCCATTTCTCCGTGACTGACTCTCTGCAGCACCCAGGCCTAGGGTCGACAGTGGAAACGAGAGCAAGCCACTGCCTATACCTCCTTCACGCGTCGGCAGGGCGAACGTCAACAACGGGACGATGTAATAATGAAGAAGGCTGACGCGTAACTTTGTGTTTCTTCGAAAAGCAAAAAGTGACAGCTCGGACTTTATCGGTTGTTGAGGAGGTTTCAGGTCAGCAGAACTGCCAGTCGCACCGAGAGAGATCATCACGAGCCAAGAGGGAGAGACGAAAGATCATCACGAAACGAAGACGGTATAGATGGAACCACAGTACATGAGCGATGCGACCTTCGAGGAATTGATGCGAAGCGTTGAATCGCCGGCCATGTTCCCAATCAGCAGCAACGACGTCTACGGCGGCATGAATAGCCCACAATTACACATGGGTCCGAATTCATCTCCATCGAGACCTCATACCGTCGTTTCTCAGAGCAATGCAGCTCAACAGAGCCTTTTCAGCGCAGCACAGAGCATAGCACAGCAGCACGAGCAACGGCAGCTGCATAAACAACAGATCCTTCGGAATGCTACGGGAGATCGGGGAAAGCGAATCACGAACTCATCCAATCTCTTCTCACAACAATCATTGATCCCCGGTCGTGCCGCTTCGACACCCAACATTCATGCACCGCCGCAGACGAGGACTCCTACTGATGGCTTACATCCAAAGAGATCGGTCTCGCTTGGGCAGGATTCAGAAGACGAACAAGACTACAAATATACAGAGTCACCCCAGATGAATCCTCTATCTCCGGCCACACATAACCGGTCCATTCAAGCACAGAAGATGGTGAATCGTCTCGATCACCTTCTTTTCCTTCGCAATGACACCCTTTCAGATGGAGATGTTGGGCATCCACAACAATTGGGACAGCAAGCCCCAAATGGGCGATTACAGCGCTCATTCTGGCATTCAAAACTCAGTTTCTTTCGATGATCTGCAGAGTCTCACCCAGTCTCCTTACAAATTGAGAAAGACCATCTCGGACGAAGTCAACATCCAAAAGTGACGATCCATCCTCTTCCGTCTCATTCTGATCTCTTCATCAGCATGAGCCCCAGAGGTCGCGCGAACTCCAGCGGCCAGACGACGAATAAGAGACGTAAGTTCATATCCCACCCTCCATCCGATCAATGATGTTGATTGTAATGATGTTGATCTGAACAGCTGCAACCGGTTTCCCGCCTCCTCTTCCCCGAGCCACCCGCGACGAATTTCAATTCGACAAGAACAGCTTGTGGTTGGCCCAGCAGCAGCAATTCCAGAGCAACGGAAACACCATGCACATGTCCATGCAGAACAGCGGCAGGCTCATCTTACGACAGCAACCCAACCTCCTTCAGAGGAAATGCTACATGAACGAGAACCGGTGTGTCATCTCATCTACACATGCATCATCTACATCATGCATCATCTACATCATGCATCATCTACATCATGCATCATCTACATCATGAAGGCTGACCGAGTAGGTACCTTTTACCCAATCCGATGGTGATCGGCGACAGAGAGAACGTGGTGCATCAACAGAGGATTGTAGATGGAACGATCACGGTGTATCTGTGTGACAGCAACGGAATCAAAGTGAACGAATCGGTGGCGCAATTGGAATGCACGACGGGATCTTTACAGAAGAAGATGGAGATCAGCGACGATACAAACTTTTCATTGAAGGTAAGACTCTTCAGCAACTAAATGATCATGATGATGATGGATGATCTCATCGGCATCGTCATCGGCATCGTCATCGTGTCCATGATCTTTTCGATCGCTGTAGTCATCGATCCACCATCTTCCATCATCGACATGCATCATCCACATGATCGCATCACAGACAGAAAAACTGACGTGAAGACAGCTGCACTGTGCCTCCACTCAGAATCGATTCCGGTTGCAATACGAGGCAGATTACACGACGGAAGACATGGTTCATCACCAAGAGGTCATCCTCTCGGATATCTTTCAAGTCCACTCGAACAAATCTCTGGCCTCCAAATGTGTGACGTCATCCATCTACAACGAGACTCATACGAATAGGCCCGAAGATCACAGACATCCTGCCGAAGGAGGGAATTAGAACGAAATCTCACGAGACGTGGATCAAGGGAAAAGATTTCAATCCAAAGGGAATCCGCGTGACGTTTGATGAGGTAAAGACGAACGACATGATCGTGATGATGAGACATCACGATGATGGACATGTCCATACGATGATGGAAGATGATGATTGACTTGATGACAGATGGAGGCTGAGATCTTAGAGATATCGCCCACGTTACTGTCAGTCAGAGCTCCGGCGAGGAATGATCTGACGTGCGACACCATGGTGAAGGTGAAGGAGGAACCGAGTTTACGGAGCTGATGATGAGTCAGGTTCAAGTGTGGAATCAATTTGCCAACAAGTTGGTCAACGCGAACGACGTCTTGTGTTTTACATATTTATCAAAGTATCCCATTGAATAAAAGTTTGAAATCGATTTCTCGTATACCTCAGGCGTCATCGGGCGGGACCGAGTTGAACTCAAGCGATACGACTATTCAATACCTCCTCGAGGTCGCCGTCAGCTATCAGCATACGACAGAGAGGTAGTCAGCTGGTGGCTGAGTAACATATGAGTCCACGTGGGACGAAGCACGAGACGCAGCGCAGCGAGATGGTGCGGATATGGTCGACCTCCTCGTCTGGGATAACATCATGCATCACCTCCTCATCGGCACTTGTCTATAGACCCGAGCCAATCGTCATCATTTGATGAACAACAGTTTGTCAGCCATGAGATACGACCAGCTGGGCAGTAGAAACGGGTTATCTGTTTGGAGCGGAATGCAATAAAATGCATGACTGGTTGGCTGAGACGATCGAATGTTCATGAAGAGTGAGACACGATGACGCGATCGCTCGATGATCTTTGAACAGCATTCAACATAGAAATCGAGGTGTTCTTGCCTTGCTTGGGTGATGGAGTTCATCATCCAAATTGAGTATAGAGCTAAAGTCCACGACATGTTCCGCGATGCAAAAAGATGGCAAAACTGGGGCTCCACCGGGACTCGAACCCGGGCCTCCTGCACCCAAAGCAGGAATTTTACCTCTAAACTATGGAGCCAGGTGTGAGTGTCGAACACTTCGTGGATGTGGATGTGGAATCAAACGATGGCTCTTTTGACAATTTGTGATGATAGCCATATTGTTCCAATCTGAAAGGAGCACTTGCATTAGATCACCTCTTTATCTCTCCCAAAGCTTTCTTCCCGAGTTTCTGTCCATCTTCCATCGGTGGTGGTCTCCTCGAGGGTCCCAGTGAGACTAAGACCTTCTCTTCCCTCGGTGTCGGCGCCTTACTCGCTTCTGTCCCTTCCGCTTTCAATTTCCGTGGTGAATCGATCGGTTTCAATTTCTTCGAACGATCTGGAGGTGTCTCCAGCTTCTTTGAAGAAGTGGAGGAGCTGCCACTGTTTTCCTCTCGAGCTGGCGGCGTTGTCACACGAGTCGACTCAAATTTTCTCGTCTGTGTGGCGGTGTGGATCTGATGTCTCAACTGATCGATCTGCTCGTGAGCTTCCTTGTAGCCTTGATTCAAGGTAAGCTGCATTCCGTTCAACTGCTCTGCGAGATCGGCGGGCGTCAACGCGGCGGGCACTGCTGAAGTCAGAGATGAAAGACTCTTTGTAGTAACTCACTCGATTTAGCGGACATGGGTCTCATGAGAGGTCGTCCGCTGATGTTGCTGACGGCTGACCCAGGCCGGGAGGATGTCCCTGGGCGAGAGGCTGATCCAGGTCGGGCGGCGGAGCTCGGTCTGGATCCGAATTTGACCGATTTTGGTCGCTCGGGGGTGGCAGGTCTGATGGGTGCAAAGACTCCTTCTTCTTCTTCTGTGGCATCTGTCGCGACGATGAGACGCGAGTTGTGATGAGAAGATGACAACGGCGCTGATGAGAACGTGACGGGATGATATGTGGAGTATAGGATGAGAGGTCACCGTTCGTTTCGAGTTCTAAATTCTCTTCCTCTACAGAAAGTCCGTCGATTTGCCTCAAATTGGGCAAAGTATCGATCAACAAAGTGCGAAAACTGCGAAAATTTGACTACAATCCGTGCACATTTCGTCACCTTGCAGAAGAGGTGGCTACGTTTCCCTGTACGTAGATCTCCACCAATTGGATCGATCCACTTAACTTCTTGAATTGTTCCGGGTCATCGATGAGATTCTGAGCCACATCGAACACTTCTAAATTTGGTAATTTGTCGTTAAGAGGATGCAAGACTCGAATTCCATTGTCTAAATGCTTTCAATCGTCATCAGAAATCGAAATGTCTCACTTCGTAAGTATAATTCTCTCAATGTGGAGAGAGTCGAGAAAGATTCCAGACTCTCGATCGTGTTCGATGACAATCGAAGTATCTGAGAGATGTCACGATGGCATCACATCAACACCTCACCTCGACGCTCTTTGATGAGATCTTCTCTACGGATGAGATCTTATTATCATCCAATTGCAATTCTTTCAGGTTTCCACACTTGGATACGCCTTCGATGTGTGAGATGGTGTTGTGGCTCAGATCTAAATCCGTCAATTCTGGGTGATGATCCAATCCCTGAGCTTTCGTCAGCCTCTGGTGCATATATATCACGCTCACCTCGATCTTCGATATCTGGTTGGTACTCAAATTTAACGTGGTTAATTTCTTGCAAGCTGCCAAGCCCTCTATCTTTTTGATACGATTTTCGTACAGGTGCAATTCCGTTAACTGAGGTAGGTGATCGAAGCCTTCCATCTTCTCGATCAGATTTCTGTGCAGGTACAGATTCTGCAACCTCTTCAACCTGAAGAGACTGAGCACTATCTCTCGCACTTTCTCACCCCTCTAAGTTTTGAATACGCTCAATCTGGCAATTATACAATCGAAGTTCGATCAGGTGGTCCAAATTGAGATTTTCTATCTTCTTAATCGGGTTCAAAGCTAGATCGACTGTCTTCAAATGTGTAAACTGTGATGATGTTCAATCAGAGAAACCCCACCCCAGCGTATATATTCATGTTGACGTTTACCTTGTTTAGATTCTCTATCTTCTCTATGCCAACGTCTCTCAGTGTAGCTTCGAAGACTTCATCGTATCTTACGGTTTCTCTACCCACAGTGCTTGCGTCTAAACCAAGCTGGTGTTGGGATTTAACTAATTCTTCTGTCAGCTGCACCATGTCTTCTTGCTCATTGGTTGTGGGTTGGGCTGAAGCTTCAACCGCCAGATTTTCATTGTAGATCGACATCATTTTTTCGCATCTCAGCATTATTGTGATGATGAGATCGTCAGGCGACAAATCGGTGCATGGATATACAATCTATCTCTGCGTCATCGCTTTGATCGGATTATCGTTGTGGTTGGCACAGAAAGTCAATCATGTCGCGCCGAACCCATACATGGTGAGAAGATGAAACGATAGTGCTGAATAACACGTATATCAGGACGAACCGTTTCACGTTCCTCAGACGCAGAGATACTGTTCGAATAATTTAGAATGGGATCCAAAGATCACAACCTTTCCTGGATTGTGAGTCGATGTCTCTTATTCTCCTTCTCAAACGTCTCAGATACGTGGTCGCCGTCGCCTATGCCAAATTATTGCAGTTGTCTCCCGTGGCCATCATGGATGGTGACACGTGCTCATCTATACCTCTTCTGAGAAGTCTAAACATATTCTTCGCCGCGGGAAACCTCATCCTCCTCTACAAGTGACCATCTATTCCATCCATCGTCATCGACATCATCATATCGTGATCTACCCTAAACCCACGATCACATCTGACACCATCAGAATCCTCTCGAAATTGTATCCAGAAGAAAACCGTTCTCTCCTCTCCCTCAAGGCCCTCACTCTCATCGCCTTCCCCATCCACTTCTTCTACATCTTCCTCTTCTACACCGACTGCGGCTCCACCTTCTTTCTTCTCCTGGCCTATCTCTCTCTGCTGAACGGCAGGACGAACTCCGCCGCCGTGGTGAGTGTCTCAACATCATCATCATGGATCATGTGAACGGAGATGATGTCTTAGAGGAGGTCTCTGATATCAACAGTGGGGAGCCGTTGCGATTTCCTTTCGTCAGACCAACATCATCTGGGACGCATTTTTCGTCGCCGGACAACTGCTCCATCGATTTAGCTTGGAGACTGGAGAGACCACTTCACAGCGTGAGAGCGGTTTTTTTCGCCGATGGAGGCTGAACGACTCAGCCGTCACCGTCAAGCTTTTCTCCTTCCTGACGTGGGCGTTGCGAAAATCTCATCTCATCGTGATGAAGTACTGGGCTCACGTTCTCTTGGCCGCATTTTTCGTCCTTTTCGTCATCTACAACGATGGAATCGTCGTGGGTGAGTTGGATAATCCACGGTATTGCGTGTGACTTCATCATCAGGAGACAGATCAGCTCATGCTCCTGTCATTCACACCAGCCAACTCTTGTATTTCATTGGATTTTCCACCTTTTTTCTGTCGTTCGATTTACGCACGGTTACGCCGCACACCGTATCATCTTTTTTCCGCGATTTTTTTCGTCAGGTGAGATCCAAGAAATTTCGGCGGGAGATTCAAATTTCAAACAGTTAAAATCGCCGAGAGGTTTCATCACGATCGTATCATGCACCCTACTCTGTCTCTACACCATACACAGATACAGGTGAGAGAAATTTCCGAGAAAACGTTGACCCCGCTCCAGCCCAGCCCACCCCTATCTGTTAGCTGACAACCGACATTACACATTTTACTTGTGGAAGAATGTCTATGCCAGAAACTTTTGGACCAAGTATGCTCTGTTACCCGCTTATGCATTGTCTTTCTATCTACTGTGGAACGCACTGCGTGAGATTTCTTCATCAGAAACGACACCTTCACTTCATCACATCATCTTGATCATCGTCTATAACGTCATCGTCTTTTGCTTCAATATCGTAATTCCATCTCAACATTATCGTGATCATCATCATCTCAACATCCGATCATCTTGCGTCTTGCATCATCTCATCTCGATGTTGATCGCGATCAGGAAAGAGGCAGAGTGCTCTGTGGTGCCTCTTCTTCTTCTTCTTCACCGCAGCCACCCTGGTACCTGCTCTGCTGCTCGAGTTCCGTTACTTTCTCGTTCCCTTCTTTTTCATCGCACTTCACATGAGAGACTCTATCAGAGGAAATATCTTGGGCACGATGTGTCAATTGGCCTTCTACATGATGATCAACGGCATCACGTTCTATCTCTTTTTCACGAAGCCTTTTGTGTGGCCAAACGGAGAGACACAACGATTTATGTGGTAAAGAAGATGGAAGATGGTATATGATGGCAACATCACCAGTTTTGTAATGAAGGAATCGTTAAAAGATGTGCATCCCTCTTCGCTATCATTCACACGAATTCAGTTCGATTGTATAGAGCTGAGCGTCTTTCAGTGTTTCTGTTGATTGATTGAATGAAAACACCAAAGACGTCGTGTTCTAAGCAAGATTTCGTTTGGCAGTAATTAATGGAAAACTGGTGGAAAATTGGTCAAGATACGAGGGCTCAGATCGGCCGATCCATCACAATCACAACACACACTTACACGCAACTCACTTTATTTATTCGAACGATGCCCGTATTACAGAAGATCAAGTCTCTCGTCCACAAGGACAAGAAGAGCGTTCATCACGAAAATGAACAACAGCCCATCCAGCCTCTGACTCACGAATTAGAGGCAGAACAACTCAGCCGAGAGGGAGATCTCTTTACACCAGTCATGAAGACTGTAGAGGCTGAGCCAGTCTTCCTCCGACGTGAAACCACCGCTGAGGCAGCCACCGTGTTACCTGTAAGAGAAGTAGAGGCCACCATTTTGAGCAAGGAGCCCACCACCTACGAGAAGGTCGAGAAGCCAACTGTCATCGTTGAGCATATCCACCCAGTCGAGAAGGAAGAGATCCAGGTCAGTGTTTATCCACGTCGAGTCCTCTGACGGAAGCGCAGCCCGTTATCTACCGAGAGAGAGAACAGCTGGACGTGATGCAAGTCACACAGCTTTTACACGAGACAGAGATCCGGCCGACTATCGTAGAGAGGAGAGAGCTGGCACCCAA